TTCTTCATATAATCCAGCTTCTCTGATTATTTGCTCAGTCTATGGATTTTTCTGTTCCCACACTGCCTCTTGACCCATGTACAAGAGTTTTGGAATTCCCATTCTTCTAAAAGCTATCCACTGTTTCTTATGAACCACACAGTCCAATGCCTTGGCATAGTCAATAAAACACAAGTAAATATATTTCCAGTATCCTCTGGTTTTATCCAAGATCCATCTGACATCAACAATAACATTCCTTATTCCAGGTCCTCTTCTGAATCCGACCTGAACCTCTGGCAGTTCACTGTCAATGTATTGCTGCAACCATTTTTGGATGGTCTTCAGCAAAAGTTTACATTAATAATATTGTTCTTTAATTTGTGCATTCTATTGGTCCACCATTTTTTGAAATGGGTACAAATATAGATCTCTCCCAGTCAGTTGGCCAAGTAGATGTCTTCCAAATTTCCTGGCATAGATGAATGAGTGCTTCTAGTCCTTCAGTACAAACTTCATCAGCTTGTTGAAACATTTTTAATGTTTTCTCATCAATTCCTGGAGCTTTGTTTTTGGCGAATGCTTTCAGTGCAGCTTGAAATTCTTCCGAAAGTACGTTCATATATTCTTGAAAGGGTTGAGTGTTGACTAGCTCTTGGTACAGTGACTCTGTGTATTGGGTCCATCTGCTTTTGATGATTCCTGTATCATTCAATCTTGTGCCCATAGGATCTTTCAATATTTCAACTTGAGGCTTAAATATTTTCTTCAGTTATCTTAGTTTAAGATATGTGTTTTCTAACTCTAGGTCTTTGCACATTTTTTTTCAATCATTTTATTGGGGGCTCATACAACTCATCATAATCCATACAGACATTAATTGTATAAAGCACATTTGTACATTAGTTGCCCTCATCATTCTCAAAACATTTGCTCTGCACATAAGCCCCTGGCATCAGTTCCTCATTCCCCCGCCCCTCCCCACTTCCCCTTCCCTCATGAACCCTTGATATTTTTTTAATATTTGGTAATAGTTTGTTAATGTATTTCTCTCTTTTTTAAATCATTTTATTAGGGGCTCATACAACTCTTATCACAATCCATACATATATCAATTGTGTAAAGCA